AGAAAAATCTATTCTTCCACATTAGTTACTTCACATGAAATGCTGGGCCAGAGTTCCTCTTTCTGTACATCCAACCCACTGTGCTGTTTTGTTATGTTCCTAGATAATTTCTTGGCTTCAGTATCATTTAGCACTTTCGTAAGTAGATGCTGCTCTCCTTGTATTCTGGAGTGGACTTTCTTGCTGTCCAATATCCAGGCGATTTGTAGGAATACACAGAAATTATGTTGGATAACTCCAACACTGTGCAATGGCTACTAGAATTTGTTATGTGTATAGTGTATTAAAATAGGACAGCAAAAGGATAACTAAAGGAAAGATATGGCAATTAGGGACCAAAAACAATGTATTCTGTTGGAAGCAGAAGACATAACTAAGGTATTAGATGAGTATGTTGCATCTGTCTGCACTGTTGCTGCCAATGTAGCAGTAAAGGTGGAGGCAGCCAACGTTGTTAGATAGAACAAAAACAGGATAAAACAAGTTAGTTGTACTAGTCATGGAAATTCAGCTGTCCAATGTTGTATGTATGTCTTGTCTTTAATAGAGCTCACGTTTGGGAACTCCATGTGCTGTGTGCATACCCAGGTTGTGATTCTGCCTGGTTGTTAGCCTGCTGTGGGTTTTCAAGATTTTCACAACACAGAATCAGTGTGCTTCTTAACTTATACTGCGCTTATTGTTTTAAATAAAGTAATCCATGGAGTTAAACTATCCCTGGTAAGCCACTGAGCATTAGGCTTTTAACATTAACATGACCTAGCTGAGATGCATGCTTGGTTATCATGCCAGAAATTGTACAGTTTCAATTTACAGTCGTCTAATTCTACTTGGATGTGAATTTAAGGCGGAGGCCTGGAGGATACTAAACATCACTACCCTGTCCAAAGAAGAATTCTAAATGAAAGACTGCACTGAATAGTTACAGACAAATTGTGATTCACTGGCTTGAGTTCTTTAATGAAGTAACAAGAGGGTTGCTGAGAATGCTGTTGTTCATTTGGGCTTTTAAATAACTTTTAATAAAAGTACGATATAAAAGATTGTAAAAAAAATTGAAGCTTATGGGTTTTTAGGGGCAGGGACAACATGGATATGATATTATTCAAGGACAAAAAGTAGAGGTAGTGATGATCAGTTACTTTTTGTTACAGACACGAGGACAGCATGTGGTGATGTCCCCAAACTGACAGTATTAAGCCTGCTACTCTTTTTGTTACATATTCATGATCAGTATTTGTGTACACAGATTACAGAATCAAAGTTTGCTGATTTTGTTAAACTTGGAAATGTAGAAAACATTGAAGAAGAAAATACCAAAGTTAAAGAGTCTTTAGTTTGGTGAAATGGGTAGACACATGATAGATGAGATTTACCATAGAGAATTGTAAAGTGATCCATTTTTCCTAGGAAATAAGAACAGTGGCAATATAACCTAAATTATATAGAGGTTGTAGGAACAGACATATAAGGGATTTTATATAATCTAATCTTTGAAGATGACAGGACAGTTTAGGAAACTGTTAAAATGGCTTTTGAGGAGCTTGATTTTATCAATTGAGGAATAAAGTATAAAAACCACAAAGTACGCTAACTGTCTATAAAACACTAGTTAGGTCTGTACTGGAATATTATGTTCCACTCTGGGCACCATACGTTTGGAATAATGTCAAGGCCTTCAGGGGTTACAGAAGAGTTTTCCCAGGATGAGACCAGGGATAAGAGAGTTCGGATACATGAGGGGATTGGAGAAACTGCAGTCGCTAACTTTAAATCCAAGAAAATTAAAGTGGGATCTCATAGCAGTGTTCAAAACATTAAAGGCTTTTGATGGACTATTGTCATGGACAGTTTTAAAGTATTTCCTGAAAGATGTTTGTGATCAATGTATTTATATATGGAAGTGTGGATTAATTACCCTTGGAGTAAATCCATTGTAAATAGCTTTGCAGCAAAGCCTTTAGTATTTAAAAGGCATGGTTAGTTTGTTTCATATGCTTGCTCTGCAAGTTAAAGAAAATATGCCACTTTTAAGCTCACAGAAACACTTAAAAATGAATCATAGATGAAAATTAAAAACAGTACATACAAAAACTGATTCATAATCATTCTCCATTTGATGTAAGTCTATTGTTGAGTTATTATATTATCTCAAGTGAAGACTTTGGAATGACATAAGTATCTCAGCAGCTGTGATGACTTCTACAACTGATCTGCCAGAGATTGTTTCCAAAGGTGGCTCACAGATGGAAAGAGGTAGGCAAGAGACAACGGCCCAACTTTATGCTTCTATTGTACTGCAGGAGTGGCCCCAGGTAGCCTGGTTGATTACAGCAAGCCAATAACTAGGCTTGTTGAACACCTTTCTCTCTCTCTTTCCCTGATGCTCTTTTTATACCTATCTCATAACACTTTGCTCTCAAAACTCAGTTTTTGTCACATCCCTTGGTTTTAAAATGAAATGTCCCTGTCTGTTTTATGAAGCCTGCGTTCATGGTGATATACACTTCTTGGTGATTTCTGAAATTCATGGATTGTGTGGAAACCAGAACACTGTCTTGGATCACAGAGCGTATCCAACCTGTTCTTTCGGATTCTGTTAAATGTAGTTAAGAGATGACTCAACAATAGAAATTTGCTTGAATATGAACATTTAAGTAATAATAAAAAGATTAAAAAGGAAGGAAAAGATGCAATAAACCTCATGCCCTTCTACCTATCAGGGACCCCACAATCGATGGCTGCTCTGGAGGCTCAGGTTCATTCCTGGCACCGTTCACGATCCCGGTCCGAGGTGAAGGAACAAAACTTTCTGTCTTATAGTGTAATGAACAGCAAGTACAGAAACAAAACAAGTTGATTGTGCTGGCTTTGGCATCAGGAATGTTCACAGGACTCATTGAAGGTCATGCAGCTGTCCAATACCATCAATTTTAGCTCATCCTGCACAAACGTCACTCTGTACCTGGCACTTATGGCAATTTACTTTTTCTACAGTTCCTTTCATTATGTAATGAGGACTTGCAGTGTGGACCTGACTGACACTGAATTTACTCTTTGTAAATTTGCCCTTTGCCTCTTAGTTCTATCTAGGAATCCATTCCTAGCTGCTGTAAATAAACTTGTGTGTATTGTCCAAGTTGACTTAACCACTATCCTAGCTAAAAACTTCACCCTCTTAAGCCTTGCATATATTTAGCACCCTGAACACAAAATATTTTAAGGCACTTCACCGCAGCGTTAGAAAGCAAAAGCTGATAGTACACCACATAAGAAATGACCAAGAGCTCGAATCAGTTGGTGGGTTTTAGGGAGTGAACTAAGGGAGAGTAGAAGCATAAATGATGGGAGATATATAAAGACAATTCCAGAGCTGAAGGCATTGCAGGTTGAGGGTATAGCATCCAAATTGAAGCAACTGAAATTGGGCTAATTTAAGAATAAAAGGACTGCAAAACTATGGAGATCGTTGGGCTGGAGTAAATTACAAAGACAGAAAGAGGTGAGACATGGAGGGACTTGAAAACAAGAGTGGGAATTTTGACATAGAGGCATTACTAAAACAGGAGCCACTATTATTCAGCAAACATAGGGGTCATGATTGACTGCTTTTCATGTAGGATAGGACGTAGGTGCAGTGTCAATGTCACAAGGGGTAGAATGTGAGAAGTGGGGTGTAGAGTGTGTTAGAATACGCAAATCCAGAAATGTCAAAAATATAAACGAGGCTTCTAGCAGATCAGCTGAGGTAGGAGTGATATCGGCAATGATACAGACGTGGAAATAAATGGTTACATTGATGGCAAGAACATATGGTCGGAAATTCATCTCAGCGTCACTTGTTAAGTTGTTAGCAAAGGTTATAAACAGGTTGGCTCAACCTCAGACAGTTTTCAGGGAGGGATATGCATTCAGTAGCACGGGAGCAAAGTAGAGAATTCTTGGTTATAATTCACTGCAATGGATCTAATCTATGTGGATTGGGAGTCAAAGAACAACATCTCATTGCGTAGTCTCTGGACCAAACATAATTGCTTCACTGTTTAATTGGAGGAAATCTATGCTCATTACATCATTTATATTAGTCAATCAGTCTAATAATAGATACTGGAGCATTCCTTCAATTCTCCACAGAAATGCCAGTGTAGATGAAGTGCGCAAGACTCTGTAACAGGAGTGAGAGTTCAGACTTTAAGTGAGGATGCTCAGGGTGTCTGAGGTTAACATATCCAAATCGTGATTATTGGCAGCACATTCATATCACCTGAGAAAACATTAAACCTTTAATCTGAAAATGAAGTGTAATATATTTACTGCCTTAATTTAAGATAAATGTGTTACAAAAGAATTTACAACACAAAGACTGGCCATTTGATCCATCTGGTCCATACTAACATTTATGCTCTAACCACCCAAACGCCATTGATACAATTTTATTCCTTCCTTCACTACGTGGTCGCAAGTTTCATGTTTTAAGCACTCTCTGGATAAAGGAGCTACTTCGAATTCCCAGCTTGATTTCGGGTGAACATATTTACGGTTCTTTTTGGTTTTTCCCCACAAATAATAAAAAAAAACCTTTATTAGGGCTCCACTCAGCCTTGTCCTCTATCTAGAGCTGTAGCCCATTCAGTCTTCCCTAATGACCTCTCCTGAGTTCTGGTATCATCCTCGTACATCATTTTGCATCTTCCCCGGTTCTATGTGAAGAAGGGTCCAGGCGAAACATCAGCCTTCCTGCTCCTCTGATGCTGCTTGGCCTGCTGTGTTCATCCAGCTCTACACCTTGTTATCTATGTGAGAGAATGCGGATTCTTAAATAGTAAAGGCGCGTGTAAACAACTCATTAAGGCACTTAACTGAAACTCAAATAAAAAATTGCTTCGAAGAAACTGGCATACATCTTTAGCAATTTGCTAATTATCTCGGTTAAATGTTATTAATGTTTACTCTTGGTGGTGATGCAACTCGTGTTTACTCGCCAGTCCAGGCACGTCAATGTTTCAGCGGGCCAGCTATCACGAGCCACTCACTCCTGTTTACAGATTACAAATAGCCAAAGTCCGGCCCGCCTCCCCCCTGCTTCACCTCTCTGGGGGATTAGATACTGCTCCTCGCCTCCTGACCGGGATTCGTTACAAACATTTGTGAGTAGTAGTTCTGCGAGTCGGGACTTCCTCGCCTTGTGTATTTCACCCCTGAGCATGGTGCTGCATCTGCAATCCAACCTCACTTTTTCGCAGGGAGCCAGGCTGATGTTTTACGCCTTAACTCCCAGCGAAACCACATTCAGAGAAGTGGACCAAGTACAGGACTATGTCCAGCAGGTGAGCTGCCCAGTTTGTTTCACCCTGTCAGTAGCTCTGACCCTGTGGCTGTCCGCTTTCACCAAAGGAACCACTACTCCGAAGCAAAGTTTTCTGAACAGTACTTCCGGGACAACAGATGGCTACATATTTCCTTTCTAAGTGTAGACTGCCGGATATCTGATCTGGATAGGGGTAAACTAAATAACAGGCCTGATATACCGGACTGTGCTTGTAATAGTGCTCGATGACATGTACCTGTGACAAGCCAGTAACAGGTTGAACTGATATCATAAAACGTGGAAGCAGCTAAAGTGTTTTTTTTTCAATGCGCCTGGATATATACCGATGCCTTGTGATATCTGTCACTTTACAATTTCTATCTTTGTTTCTTTGCTGGAGATAGCAAGAACTGCGGATGCTGGAGTCGGCGATAACACAGAGTGTGGAGCTAGAGGAACACAGCAGGCCAGGCAGCATCAGAGGAGCACGAAAGTTGACGTTTCGGGTTTACGTCCCCCATTAGGACTGAGGTGGGGTGAAGGGAGCTTGGAAATAAATAGAGGGAGGAGGGATGGGGCTGGGGGTAGGTAGGTGCGATGGTGAGAGGTGGATGCAGGTAGGGGGTAGTGGTAATTGGTCAATGGGAATGATGGGGCAGATAGATGGTGAAGGAGATGGACAGGTAGTGTCAGGTCAAGGAGGCGCGGATGAGAGGGAGGTTTGGACGGGGTGGCAAGATTTGGATACTGGCGAATTCTGTTTAGGCCAACGGGCTGTAGGCTCCCAAGACGGAATATGAAGTGCTGCTCCTCCAGTTTGCGTGCGGCATCATTGTGACACTGGAGGAGGCCCAGGATGGACATGTCACCCAGGCAGTGGAAGGGGGACTTGAAATGTTTAGCAACTAGAAGGTGTTGATTATAGCGTACAGAGTGCAGAAGCTCTGCAAATCTGTCACCGATCCTGCACTTGGTCCCACTGACGTAGAGGAGGCCACATCAGAGGAATGGATACAGTAGACCAGGTTGGAAGATTTACGGGTGAATCCCTGTCCGATTTGGAAAGATTGCCTGGGGCCTTGAATAGAGGTGTAGGGGCAGGTGTAACACTTCCTGCGGTTGCCGGGGAAAGGTGGTGGGGTTGGTGGGGAGTGTGGAGTGGACGAGGGAGTTGTGGAGTGAGGAAACACATACCTCGCATACCATCCCACCAACCTCTGCATCCAGCGCATCATCCTCCTCCACCTGCAATCCGACCGCTTCACCAAGGAGATATTTCCCTCCCCGCCCCTATCTGCCTTTTGTAGGGACAGCTCACTCCACACTCCCACCAACCTGTCACACCCGGCACCTTTCCCTGCAACCGCAGGAAGTGCTACACCTGCCCCTCCACCTCCTTTCAAGGCACCTGACGATCTTTCCAAACCCGACAGAGGTGTACCTGTACATCCACCAACCTGGTCTACTCTATCCGTTGCTCCAGATGTGGCCTCCTTTATGTCAGTGGGACCAAACGTAGATTCGGTAACAGATTTGCAGAGAACCTGCGCTCTGTACGCTATAATCAACAACATCTTCTGGTTGCAAACCATTTTAACACCCCCCTCCCACTCCCTGGGTGACATGTCCATTCTGGGTCTCCTCCAGTGTCACAATGACACCACCTGCAAACTGGAGGAGCAGCACCTCATATTCTGCCTCAGGAGCCTACAGTCCGATGGCCTCAATTTAGAATTCACCAGTTTTAAAATCTCTCCACTCCTGGTCTCATCCCATGTCTAAACCTCCCTCTCATCCCTGCCTCCTTGACCTGACACAATCTGTCCATCATCTTTCCCACCTATTTACCCCACCCTTCCCACTGATCAATACCCACTACCCCTCCCTGCATCCACTTATCACCATTCCACCTACCTTCCTGCAACCCCACCCCTTCTCCCTCTATTTATTTCCAAGCTCCCTTCCCCCTGCCTAGTCCTGATGAAGGGTGTAAACCCGAAACGTTGACTTTCCTGCTCATCTGATGCTGTCTGACCTGCTGTGTTCCTCCAGCTCCACATTGTATTGACTTACTTTTCGCTGTTGGGCTACAGCTGAACACTGAGATGGACAGCTCTGTATGATGCCATCGAGTACTGAATCACATTGTTAGACTTCAAGTGAAACCATAATTTATTGCATCACTTGTTTCAGTTGCAATACTGAGATGCAGTAATGTACTCAAATTAACACAATTACATAAACCACAGTGTCATGGAGTCATAGAGGTGTACAGCATGGAAACTGACCCTTTGTTCTGATTTATCGATGCAAACCAGATTTCCTAAATAAATCTAATCCCATTTGCCAGCATTTGGCCCTTTATCCCTCTAAACCCTTCCTATTCATATACCCATCCAGATGCATTTTAAATGTTGTAATTGTACCAGACTCCACCACTACCTCTCGCAGCTCATTCCAGCACACACCACCCTCTGTGTGAAGAAGTTGCCCCTTAGGTCCCTTTTAAATCCTACCCCTCTCACCTTAAATCTAGGCCCTCTAGTTTTGGACCCACCACCCCAGGGAAAAGACCTTGTCTATTTACTCTCTGTGTGCCCCTCATGATATTATAAGGTCACCTCTCAGCCTCTGACACTCCAGGGAAAATAGCCCTAGCCTATTCAGCCTCTCCCTATAGCTCAAACCCTCCAACCCTGGCAAGATCCTTGCAAATCTTTTCTGAACCTTTTCAAGTTACACAAAATCCTTCCTGTAGCAGGGAGACCAGAATTGTATACAATATTCCAAAAGTGGTTACCATCTTCTGAACCCCTCTGCCTCCTTTCTATCATTGCACACTCTAATTTCTGTATATTGAAAAGTACATGCAAGTGAATTCTAGATGGGATTATTGTTGCTGTAACAGAATATTTGCTGGGGTTTTGCAGTGGGAATAACAAATCTGTGCCCTGGAACTCCACATTTGAATCCTGCAATTCAGGCTTTCACCCTGTCACAGCACTGAAATGAAGTCACAAATGACGTTCCATATCAGAATGACAAATGTAAATTATCTGTCTTTGTCCATCTCTGCAATCTTTCACATAGTTAACCACGAAATTTTGTTGCAATATTTGTTGATTAGTGTTCTGCTGGATGAGTTTGCACTTTTTTGCCTGTTTGCCTTTTTATCTGTCTATTTTTAACAGACAAATCATCTGCAATAGCTTTTCTTCTTGTTCCCATGCCATTAACTTTATTCTTTCGTCTGCTCCTATTTTCACCTTTTAAGTGGCTCCTGACAGTGTTAGTTTTCACATGTACCCAGGAAAAACCCACCTCTGCTTCATCACCATGTGGTTTGACTCTTTCACTTGTCTCTAAATGATCAAAATGCTCGACGACCGTATATTGCCTCCAATTAAATATTTGGAACTCCAAAGCCATTGGTTAGTCTTTTGTCGCAAACTTCATTCTATAATCACCACCTCCATCCCTTTACCTGGCAATTGCCTGAGCTTGAACCAGATTGTCGGAAATTTTGATGTCATATTTGATGCTGAGTTGTACATCCTATCACAAGTCTGCACCATTCCTAAGACTTGTTTTTAACCCCATAATATTACCTAATTCTGCCCTTGCTTTAGCCTATCTGTTGCTGAAATCCCCATCTCTTTTGCTATCTCTAGACTTGCTAGTCTAAGGCATCCCTCACTGGCTAGCCTATCTAGCTATATCCTTCACAAATTTGAGGTTATTGAAAATGTAATCGCTTGTGTCCAAACTTGTATTGAATCCAGCTTACTTATCCCTGCAAAACAAAACCTGAAAGAACTGCGAATGCTGTAAATCCGGAACAAAAACAGAAGTTGCTGGAAAAGCTCAACAGATCTGGCAGCATTTGTGAAGAAAACAATCAGAGTTAATATTTTGGGACTGGTGACCCTTCGTTAGAACTGTGTTCTGAAATCTGAATTCTAAGGAAAGATCACCGGAGCCAAAACATTGACTGATTTTTTTTGTTTTCTTCATGGATGCTGCCAGACCTGCTGAGCTTTTCCAGCAACTTCTGTTTTTGTTTCTTATCTCTGCTGTGTTTGCTGATTGACATTGACGTTGGCTCTCTCATCAAGTAGTACCTCAATTTTAAACTTCTCATTTTTGTTTACACATACCGCCATAGCCTTGACACCCTGCACCATCGCACTGTCGCCCCCCGGGCCACCCTTAGCACTGTGATTGCCTGCAGCCCTGCAACTTGCAACTTTGTTAGATCTGTGTTCACTCAGTCCTGACCACTTGAGCATTTCTGATTTTAATCACTCCACAGTTGGCAACCTTCCTTTCAGCTAAGCTGTGTCAAGGTCCTGAAATCTGGAATTCATTTCCTAAAAGAGCCTGTCTACCTGTCCTTTTCACTTTAAGGTGGTTATTAAAATTTTCATTTTGAGCAAGCTTGTGATCATCTGGCTAAACATCTTTATGTGGTTTGGTATCAATTTCATAATACTCTGAAGTAAAGTCTTTTACAGGAATTTTTTGTAAGGTAGATATAAAAATGCAAGTTGCTGTTGAGAGGATTGGGGTAAGTGTTTGGAAATCGGAAAATAAGTATCATTGATTTTTCTCAGTGGTGATTGGTATTGGTAGAGCTCAGTGGAGTTGGAATGTATCCTTATCTTTCAGTGAGTAGAAATGCACAACAGCTACTCGGGTTACATTTTCTGCATTTCACTTAGCGTATATGATCAAGTCAAATTTTCAGATTAATACAATCTGAAAATGCAACATTTTGCAACATTTAAATAAAAACCAAAAGAATTGCAGATGCTGTAAATCAGGAATAAAAACAGAAGTTGCTGGAAAAGCTCAGCAGGTCCGACAGTATCTGTGAAGAAAATATCAGAGTTAACGTTTCGGGTCCAGTGACCATTCCTCAGAGCTATTATTTTCCAGCATTTGGTAGTTCCAGTAGAGTATCAAAGAACAAACATGTGGTACGGTGGCTCAGTGGTTAGCACTGTTGCCTTACAGTGT